GATCTCGATCGTTGATCCTAGGGCCAGGGAAAGCTGACCTTAGGGTAACTGCTAGATCTCTAGGATCCCTCATTTGAGAGATGAGAGTTGTAAGTTGTAAGGTCAAAGTCAGGGGTGATTAGTAGAGTGGCGAGGTAGGTTTTCGTTTCGAATTAAAGGTTTTTGTAATAAAATAAAGTGCACTACATGTGAAACACAATCATTTGAGGAGATATCATAAATAAATAAATAAATAAATCATTTGGGTTGAAAAGCAAATAAGTTTACGTACTTGCCTGTTTGGGTTTAAACACGGAAGTAGTATGCCCAATTGTGCTCAGGATTTTGATAATACGTACGAAGAAGGCTCAGGTTGAAGGTAAAAAATGAAGGGGCCCTTTTCCAAATGGACCGTATCTTTAAAAGTGAGGTTATAATACACATCAACTGAAATGAGCTTCCCTTTAAAACAAATCCTAAAGCCAATGGGCCTATTTTGATAACAAATTAAGAACACAGGCCTTAGTGTATAACCAAATAAAATTTAGAAGTTGAAATAGGACTAAGTCTACATAGTAAGGAAATTATATGTGCCTTTGTTTATTAAAAAAGATAAATCTAGTGGGCGCCTGTTGGTAATAATAACAATAGTGAAATTGGCAACATCCATCTATTATCTATTATTATTATCATTATTGCTATCTAATAAAGTAAAAACCTGGTGTTTTCTTTTGACACGTGTCGATTTCTACATGATTATCCCTCTCCAAACCACCCATTTACTTATGAATTAAACCCAACACCCTTTCATCCCCCACATTTATCCTTGTGACAATTTCTTTTATCTTGAAAATAATCATTTCTAAAAAAAAAATTGCATCTTTCTTAGGGCAGGGAACCATTATCTTGGACAAAATTAACTTTTGTTTCATCTCACGCTCCTATCTCTCCCTCCCACAAAGTTCTTAGTTTTACTTTTTCACCTTCCCAGAGCAATTGTCTTCTTCCTCCCCTCCCCTCTTATGTCCAAACCCATCCCCTCCTCAACCCTTCCTTCCCCTATGCTTATACCATCCTCCTCGCCTCCACTAGCTCAAAGATGAACGGTCTTATATTTGAAAGGGGGTCGATTAGATTAGAGTTAAAAAACAAATTTCTCTATTACTGAGCAAAAGAGCTATAGATCCTACGTCTCCTAACCATTTAATGCTAAAAGGTTCTAAATGTCATTGATTATAAAAAAATAACAAATTAAATTACATATATAAATAAATAAATACTAATTAAGATCTAACTACCTTCTTGCTTCCTTCATCATGTGTATAAGAATAACAAAAAAAAGGAGCTATAACAAGCTTGATTTGGGTCCATCTATATTTTATAAGAAAGACCATGCATGTATATCAGTTGCGCTCTCGAATTTTCTAGAAATCAGTTTTTCCATGTCAATTTCTCATCTGAGTCCACTAACATTTGTTCTTCATATTCCAAAATCCTTTTCGGTACCATACACATGAAGCTTCAAACAAATCGTAGCATTCACCTAATAAATTCGAAAATATAGAAAAGTAAAACATTACGCAAAATGAGAATGATAGCTTCGTCTCACACCAAATTCCACTCAAAAAATTTCCAAAAAAAGGGAATGCCACAAACCAAGAGGACTCATCGAAATACATGAAAGTACTAAAAAAGGTCTCACCTGTGCGATTTCATACAGGAGCAAAGAGAACTAAAAAAAAGATCAATTCCCATATGAGCTCACTAACAATAGCTCTTCATGCTCTAAAATCCATTTTTTAACCACAAAAATTAAGCTTCAAACATTTTTCATAATTCTTGCAATAACTTACAAAATAGAAGAAGGAAATAAAATGTTTTTCCAAATATTGCTGAAATAATTTTTTTTTTCAAATATTGATGGATATTACTTTTTTTTTGGCCTTTTATTTTTTATTTTTATACTCTTTGTTCTTCTTTCATGTTTTTATTAAGATGAGTTAAGAAAAATACATTAATTACAACCAATCTTTAATTTAGTTTCAAATTAATTTAACATCCTTTGTGCTTGAAGGACACCTTTATTTTATGTGTTCTTAATTAATTAATTTTTTTTATTTATGAGAAAACAAGAGTAACTGGAATTTAGTAAGGTACTAGAATCACTCCACGTATTACAATTAGTTCTTAATTCAATTGGCCAGTCGCATGAGGGTATTCAATTTCTATGCATTACTCAAATATATATTACATACCAATAAAATAAATTTACATTTCTTCATACCGTTTTATACTTTAC